CTACTACTGCTACTAGTGCTACTAGTGCTACTAGTGCTACTAGTGCTACTAGTGCTACTAGTGCTACTAGTGCTACTACTGCTACTGCCATTGCCACTACCACTACTAGTACCACCACTACCACTACCACGACCACCACCACGACGATGCACCTATCCTAGCCAGTTAAGATTTCCGAAGCATGCCCGCCACCCAAATCCCGGCCATGAAAACGTTCGGCATCGCTCTTGCCCTCAATGGTGTCAGTCTTGGAAGCACCCAAACCTTGAAAGGCTCGAGGCACTTTGCATCGTGGTAGCAGCATGCGTGAAAACAGAGAGTGGCTCCACTGCACACTCCCAAACATGCCGAAAGTGTGCATAAAGTCTTGTGCAAGACACCCTTGACCTCACGCCATGACACACTGCTCATCACGGCCCTCTTGAGCAGGCAGAGCAACATGCACTGCGAGTGGTCCGGATCAACTACAGCTTTCGTAAACCCTGGGCACGAACTTTTGGTCAACACATGTCAAAACTTTGCTACCAGTGCCGTCGCCTGTATTTTATATTATCAGTCACAAGAACCGAACTGTTCAGCTGAGCCACTGGTATATCTGAGCGAATTACGGGACAGCGAAGAATCGCCCAAGCCAATCGCTGTGCGAGTTTCCGCATCAGCTGCAAGCATCTGGTAGAAGATATGAAAATTTCGCTCCTCAAACGTGCAAAACAGGGCAAACATTGCCTTACATCTTGGTCAGGAAAAGCTTATACGATGGAACGCAGCTGACGACCTTCTCCCCATGCTCACCGCCCAAGGTCCGTTGCAGCTGATAACTTTTCAAAGAACACCCTGCAACAAGTAAGGCTTGCCGCCACGAAACGCCAGAATCCTGGCCGACCTTGGCTCAGATAGGGCCAAATGCACAGCGACCAAGGCACGCATGTGGGCATTGCAAGCATTGCCAACAGGTAGCGACACGAGATTTCTCCAAAAGGTAGGTCCTGCATTTGGAACCTTCTGGCGCAAGCTGTGTCAAGTCTCAGAACCTCTGCAATGGACGAGAACTTCCACGAAAGCTTGTTCACGCGGCCTTCCAATCGGCAACCACTGTCGAGCTGCAACTCGATGAATTTACCGAAGCGGCTGGAGTTGTCGTTGCGCACCTGCAGCTTTTCTCAAGATGCTCTGCCAGCAGCAGTAGCAAAAGCAATGAGTCAAACCAGTACAAATCAAAACAGCAACAGTCGAAAAATGACTGCTGGTAGTTAGTTTGTAGTACCTAGCCCTTAGCCGTCAGTGGTAAGCAATTAGCATGGTAGTAGTAGCTGTCGTCGTCGCAGTCGGAGAAGTCGTCGAACTAGCAGTAGCCGCAGCAGCAGCAGCATCGGCAGCGAGAGTAGAACTCGGAGGAAGAGGAGAAGGATTAATAGCAGTAGCAGTAGTGGTAGTAGCAGCAGCACCAAGAGGCGGCGCAGTAGTAGCAGCAGCGGTAGTGTTAGTAGTCGTAGTAGTAGTAGTAGTAGCAGCAGCAGCAGCAGTAGTAGTAGTAGTCGTCGTCGTCCTCGTCATCGTCGTCGTCGTCGTAGTAGTAGGAGGAGGAGCAGTAGGAGTGGCAGGAGCACCAATAGTACTAGGAGCAGTAGATTTGAGAAGTAAGAGTACAGCAGAGCAGTAGGAGGAGCCTGAGTCGGAGTAGGAGCAGGAGTGAAGTAGGAGCAGCAGTAGGAGGAGGAGTGCTGGTCGTCGTAGTCGTCGTCGTTTTCGCAGTAGCAGTAGCAGTAGGAGAAGGAGTAGGAGTAGCAGTATGGGCAGCAGCAGCAGCAGCCGCGGCGGTGGTGGTGGTGGTGGTGGTGGTGGTGGTGGTGGAGGTAGTTGTGGTTGTTGTTGTTGTGGTAGCAGTAGACGGCGTAGGCCTCGTAGGAGGAGTAGAAGTAAAGCAGTGGTGGTGGTAGAAGTAGTAATGGTTTTCTTAGTGGCAGCAGCAGTAGTACGTTGCCTTAGCAGCAGTAGCAGCTACTGCTCCTTTCGCACGGAGTGTAACCGGTTGCCAGCTTGGCGACATCATGATTAACATGGTCACCAACTCTAGGGCGGCTGCGGTTTGCGCATTGCCAAACGACTCCAGCAGGGGATTGGACTCAACGATACGCTTGATGTGCGACGTGTCCTTCGCATCGAAGGCCCCGCGGAAAGGACATCAGCACCACCACAAATGCTTGCCATCTGAGGAACATCGGAGGAAGCCTCGCAGCTGCAAGCTGTATTTCACCAGGAACGATGCGATGTATCGGCAACGTCTAACCGCAGTCTATGAAAGCTAGACACCGATGTGTAGAATGACGCATGAAGCGAAGCCAGGCGACTTTCTGGATCCCTCATGTGCCGGGTCCCCCTCTCGACCATGAATACAACGTCCCGCTCGCGGTCAAGTCGCTTTCCGTTGAGGTTTTCATTTTCCCAATGTGCTTCGAGCCATTTGTTGTACATAGCTTGGTTGGCTTTGAGTTCTAGGATCAAAACGCCTTCTGTCTAGAACTTCTGTCATAAGTGGACTTGCTAAGTCAACTAATTAAGCATCCAAGTAGAATCTAAAGAAAGGGTCCACGTAGGTGTAGCTTCGTGGGTCGACTGTGTGTTGGAAGGAAAGCAAGCTTGACCGCAAGCGGAAAGCTGTTTTAAATGTCGGGGGGGGGGGTCCGTCATCCGTTGACTGCGACAGGGCGACAAGTCTTCACGACTACGGCTAGCGAGGCAGACCCCCGATAATGCAGATTCTGAAACCAGGGGTGCATCACATATGGAGATACATATCCGCAAGCAGAATTGTCCGGGACGGAAACTATGACTGCCCAGAGATGCAACTGCGCAGCCATGAAAGCCAAGTGGGCCATCAAGATCCTCAGCTGCAGCTCAGGCACAGGCACTGCTCGGCCGAACAGCGACAAAACGTCCCTGAGGCCGAGGTTCTTCACGGTCTCGGTCTTGCCTGCACCCGACTCGCCGGAGACCAAGATGGTTTGATTGGATTTCGTCTCTTGGAGACCTGGCTGTTGCACCACGGCAATTGGCCGTGCAAAGCAAAATGTAGCAACAGGTGTCGCAGTCTAGTCAGAGATGTGAGGCTGAGGCCTGAGTAGGCAAACGAAGAAGTCGTGTACCTCAACAGCCAGCAAAGTGCATTCCTGCATTGCTTTCTGCGATCTTTATAGACTTCTCGTGCCATGCACCACAGTCACATAAACACGTGCCGTCACGTGCAGCACAAACACAGAACAGCATTTCGAATTTCCTGAACTGCACGGTTCCAGTGTGAGCGGGTCCAGCATATGCCACACTCAGCTGTGTACGCCCGATCGGTGTGCTTGCAAAGGCCGTGCGGAGATACGAGGGGATACAAGCCTTGACTCGTGCTTTGTGCTCGACCCCAAAGCCGCCTGAACCCACTCTATGCCCTTCTCGGCTTTTCGAGGTCCTGCTGTAAATCTGTGCGGTATCTTCTGCGATTTCAGAGGTTGTCCAAGCCAAGCTGCACATGAGGATCCAGCTTGGGCCGATCAAAAACGAGGTACTCCTTTCGCTTGTCGTCCGTGTACAGCTCAGGAAACCAACCTTACCCGATGTTCGTTTCAACTTGAGTCTCATCTGTGCTATCTTGCTTGTCGGTGAGAGCAACCGGTACGCCTGATCAGGAACGGCAATTACGATAGAAAACCTCCTCTTCCGTGGAAACGACATCGCAGCCCAGCTGTACAACTTGATGGCAAGCATCGGTACGGATTCATTGCAATGACAATGTCTGCAGTGTAGGTGTAAGGGCAAGCCTCCAAGCATCAACAATAGCGCAGCATGCAACTCTCTGCACTACTTCTTGCGCATGGGGACTCCTGGCTGGGCATCACCCTGTAGCAGCTCTTGGGTTCCTGCAGTTTCTAGCCGCACGATTTTGGACTCGCTCATGCATTACACTACACTCATCGTGATTGGAAGTACTCCCCCTGTCTAGCGAACACCCGCCAATCTGTATTGTTGGCAAGAAGCAGTGCAGATTCCCGCTGGCGTTGCCGTTCAGTGACTTGCGAGTGTAAAGCTACCGAACTTAAGCACTACATTCGGTTCATGCTTTGGCAGTGCGGCACGCCACCTGGAAGCATGACCTTTGGCACGTTGTGCTTCCACGTGTCGCTTTCGGAAGTCCAGCCCGGAATTCCAGGCCAGGTTTCTCGCTCCAACTCCACAGAAACTTATAACTGATCATACTTGTCTACAACACACACATGTCGACGGTAAAGCTTTCTGCAAAACGTAATAGAAGTAAGCTTGGGAAGCACTTCCACGAGGAGTTCCTCCTCGGGTTAATTTCTCTCACTGCTGCTTCACCCAGAGATCGCCATCGCCCCAGCTGATCAAGGTTTCGGGGCCGAAAAAGGGCCGCCCGAAGTGGAGCTGGCTCTCGAGCTCGATGACCAAAGCTCCTCGGACCCAGTACTCTTCTGCCAGTGCTACTTCTACTCCAATCTCATTCTGCGGTTATTCACCTCCTCCTCAACTGCTGCTGCTGTTGCTGCTGCTGCAACACCTATACTGCTTCGACGGGTGAATACCACTGTCAGAACCCCCAACAGTGGCACCTTCGGAGGATGGAGGATGGTGCGCAGGGCTCTCTCGAAGCATTTTTCTACAGGTGAGCTTCTTTTCTGGCTAAACCCCTAGCTCACATCCACTCGACTACTTTACTACTGCTTCTACTACGACGACGAGCACCAGTGCGACGACGACTACTACCACGACGACGACCACCACTACTACTACTACTGCTGCTGCTGCTGCTACTACTACTGCTGCTACTGCTACTGCTAGTCCTGCTGCTGCTGCTACTACTACTACTACTGCTCCTGCTGCTGCTACTACTACTACGACGACGACGACGACTACTACTAATACTACCCTGCCGTTGCTGCTATGCCTCACTCCT